TTACTACCATCAGATCGATTACCTAGCTAAAATTAATTTATTTTACTAAATAGATAAATATAAGCACCACGAATACTAACCTTGAAATCATTTAATTCGTTCTTAACTTCCTCAATTGACTGTCCAATCTGAAACAAAAATAGATGCTGGTCCAAATTAATAATCTACAGTTAAAAAATGATTCATATCTTCTTGCATGCTCTTTGTTTTCCCATATATGCGGGTGGTAGGAAGTTACGAATGGAAGCACTCTTCTTATAATCGCACATACAACCTTTGATGACATTGATTACCTTGGAGTTCTCCAAAACAACTGCACATTTCATCTTTGAAACTTGACTAAGTTTGGCTTTCGCAGATTCCAACTTACCCAATAAATCTTTCCTCTCTTCCACCTGTAAACCAACATTAGATCAACACATTATGCTTCAACACACTCGCCAGTCCATGGCAGGAGTTCAGTACCACATAGTTAAGATTGCAGTAAATACGAGTGCCAGAAATCCCTACGAGAGAGGATGGAATAAAATTAGTATGAATTTCATGCTACAGTAGTTAGATTGTTAAATGGAAGCTCAAATAATCAAATTTTACATTTAAGCTTCACTTGCGAACCATTTTATAAAATGTTTCCACGCTATTGATCAAATTGCTATTGATTCAGAAACTAAAATAAATTATTTCTAAAAGCCTTAAACTTCGAAAAAACTTTGGAAAATGTCTGACGATTCTACTTTATCATCCATTCTATATCTTAACTGCAAAACTAGTTACAAATAGGATAGATTTAATCTAAAGTGTTCCGAAGTAAACCATTCTACGTATTATGGTTAGTAAAAAACTCATTCTACGTATTATGGTTAGTAAAAAACTTGAAGAGGGGATAGGAGGCCCAGAACTACCTCCAACTGTATCATAAGATCCTTCCGTTTCACTTCCTCGCTTAGCAGTTTCAAACTTAACCTGAAATAAATTGTAATCAGTTATGCTGGAAGGAATAACTTATTGCACGCAGTGGGAATGCAAAACCTGCAAACAGAAGAGACCTTAGAAAAGATGATTTAAAGATTAAAACTTTTTCAGCCTTATCTTGTTGTAAATAAATTGATTTGCTAGCACAAGCTTTTAACTCCAAATTACTTGCGTGGTGAATAAGGGCTAAGGGTCGTGAATGAACACTTGAACTATCTTCACTCCATCACTTAGATTGATGATTTAGTACATGACGATTTTATTGAAAAGATCGAGGGCTCAATATTTATCTCTCGTGTTTTATGCATTCTCATTTAAAGCCAATACGACAAGGACTAAGTAACTAAAGGATGATAAAAGAAAAAAGGTCGTGATCAAGGGCAAATATTCTTGAAAGAAAGATCCAGAGCCAAACTAAGTATATGCTATAAAAATGACATTAAGAGCGTAAAATAAGATGAGACTTAAGCATGAAAAAATAATAGACTCCCACGATGACATTAGAAATTCACATATAGGGATGGAGGAAGCTTCTATTTAGAACCTGAAAAGGAAAAATAATTCATATATGAGCTGTAGAATTTAAAATAGACAGATTCAAAACATCTAGTTTCCTATAAAGGAATATTAAATTGTAGCGGCAAGAATCACTTGGATACTTGTTTACTAACTCTCTTTAAACCCATGTACAAAATCTAGCGCCGATATCTATTGGAGCAGTTGAGGGAAAACCATCTAATCTCATGAGAGCAAAGAAAGGGCAGCTCAAATATACCATAACTACTAATATGATGAGAAGTAGTGGAGAGACAAGAGTGATGATCTAGTGAGAAATACCAATTCGTGCCCTTCGGCTTCTCCGCGGATCATGTTAGCATTTACCCAGTCCTACACCAAAGGTTGCATAATAGACTGAATTTCAAAACATAAATAATGGATTTAGAATTCATGATTTATATGACATATGTTTTGGACTTCAACCTGCTGATCTTGGAATTTGAGACTGATGTCCTCAGAAACTTTGGCATAATAAGTACTATCAGGTCAAATATACTATTGTTAATAACACAATCACGCACCATTGGTAGAACCAGAAATTCAATACTGCATAGTTCAATCACCTCTTCTCAATAATTTTGGCTCCTAAGCTAACTTTTTCTTGCTGAATGAGCTCGAGTGTCTGAATATCAAACAGTTGAGAGTATTTAACAAGCAAGAGGCGGATGCAAAACAGTATTCTTTGAAATCCATAATGGAAAGAAACTAAACAACCATTTTTCTCCTCTCGTTAAACAGGAGAATAAGTGAACCGGAGAAAATAGTTCCCTTTGTTCTTTTAGTCTAACGAAACTAGACATCATAGAAACTCTTTTTCTCTTAAACGTATAGATATACAAGAGTTGGGCACAATATCCAGCCTCAGCTCACATATTTGATCGACTAAAGCCAAGAAAAAAAAAATGAGACCGGACCAGAAGAAAAGTCCAATTCCATTTCATGAGGACACTTGAGGTTGAGCAATATGAGTTTCCTTTTTAGTTCATGACTCCACTAAATTGAATCGTATACATTGTATTTACCTAGAAAATTCAATACTAGCGCTGTAATAAGAGAGAAAATGAACTTTTGTTCTATTTTCTCCATTTTTGTCAGCGACGAGAACTGATGAAATGGAGATCGATTATTTATCATGCAGATGCTACAGCATGGTCCTCTTACACTAACTAAGCAGTTGCTAAACAGATTTTAGGCCTACACGAGAGGGAATGCACACAAGGAAAGCACCAAGACACCAGTACAGAGAATAGACACCTGTGAAAGTGTACATATGTCATGCTCCAATGATGTGATTTTTCTTTGTTGTTCTAATATCTGGGAGCATATTTCACCCTTTGCCCGCATCATTCTCTCAGCATCTTCTTTGAGTTGTTTTAACTCACTTTTTGCTGCATCAAGACGTCTTTAGTGAAAGCAAACTATAGCCATTCGATCTACAACTCAAAAATTTTAGTTTGCTTGAAATATTTAAATTTTAGGAAAAAACAAGGTAAGGCTACAATTAAATCTGAATTTAACATGCAATAATTCGTGCCGAAGTTCATTCGACCGACCAATTCTCAACAGAAAGTTATCAAACAGCAACAGCTGCTAATCAGCACTACATGTACGAACAAAAATTGGTGAAACCGCCTCCAAAAAATAAACTAGATTACATATTATATTAAAAGACATACTAGAATAGTACTGGATTAAGTAATAAACATAGGTATATAAAATGATAGTTCAGTCCTGTTTGGTTGATTTAAGTAATGGTTTAAGGATAATATTGGGAGTTAGTTATATCAGCAAGATATCAGAAAATCTCAGTCTGACTAAAGCAAGAGTAGAGTGAGACAAAATCAAAGCGCTTCAAACACACGCTATGAATTACATGGCACCAGGCTGATGTGCACCAAGAGTAAGCAATTTTATGCCTAAGATAAAAGCAAAGAAGTTAGTTATCACATTAGGTCCAGCGGACAATATGTTTGATCGACTTGGAAGAAGATGAATGTTCTTAGGTTTTTGTTACTCGATTCACGTAATTATATATTACCAATATGAGTCGTGACACTATCGAAACAGGATTATTATACCCCTTTGAAATTTTTACCAATAACAAAAGCAATGAAATAGATTTTTTGGCCAAACGCGTCTCTGAATAAATTAGAAGAATTCTTCAGCCGTCTTTATAATAGAAACTGCAAAATCCTTCAGCTTCACTTTGTTAGTCACGGTTGTAGTTGGCATGAATAACCAAAACTACTTTCAAGTAAGGTAGTCATCCATAGATATGTATCAGACTGATTTAGAAACCGGGGAAAAACTTGAGCAAAAAGAAAACTAGATGCTATGGAGTTTTGAGCAAGAAAATGATCGCAATAACCAGTTAGACATCCTCGAAATGATCTGAAGTGAAATTAAAAAAATAATAATAATCGAGGACGAGACAGGAACAAAAGAGAGAATAAATCTACAAAATCTCCGTAAACAAAAGTACGTGCTGAACTATTTTTCTAGGTGCAAAAGGAAGAACGTTCAGATAAACAAATAACGAACTAGAAGACTAGAAGTAGAGACCTGACCAGCAGTAAGATCATTCTCCATGGTTCGAATAGTAGTAAAGTGCATGTGCTCTTCCACAGAGATCTTCGAAACTTGATCCTCCACGTCTAAGTCAAGTTTGATACAGAATCAATCCACAAGTAGCACAATAACGCAACAAAAAAGAATTCCGTACGTTAAAACTTGAATTTGAAGGAGCCGATACGTACCGCTCATCTGTAAGCGCAGTGTCTTCATGTACTGCAAATACTCTTCCATCTTCGACGGTTCGCAGAGAAAGAGTTCGGTGATTCAGTTCAAGTTTCAGTTCAGTGCCGAGAAAACTTGAAGCGATTGAAATCGCTGAGCGGAAGCCAAGAAATAGAGCGATAAAGCGCGCGCCAGACTGGGATACGATAAAACCAACCGAGTGACGCAAATATGGAGGGAAAATTTGTGATTTCTCCTTCGAGATGGACACCTTTATTTTTTTAACCTCAATTTTGTCCTTTAGCATTTTATGTCAACGGTTTAATATTATTTTGGTTGAGATATTACTTCAACGGTAATTTCTTCGTAGATAATTAGAATTAAATATTTAAAGGTAGATCTATAATTCTTGAATTAAAAAAATGCCATATATTTTTATATTAGACATGTAAAGCTTTGATAAATAATGAAAATGGGGTATTAACACGAAAATGATTTATTCTAGACCATCTCTAATCAGAAATCAAATGTATTAGATTATTAGTCTTTCGTTTTTTAAAACTTATTAACACTATTTCTATTTATTAATTTGTTTATATGTTATTTTTTTGGGTCCAACATTGACCTCGATCGTATATGCTAGCATGGGTTCAGCTTTTGTCTTATTACGGACTGAATTTAATGTTTTTAATTAACATATATTGTATAATATATTGTAAAACTAAAAAATTAAATCAGAATATTTATGAAGCGTGGCGATGCGCAATTACTTGATCGCCCCTAATCTGGTCGGCGGTGGACCTCCGAACAGAAATCAGAAGAAATTATCGATCTTCTCTGGACTTCGGAGGAGGAAAAAGGAATAAGATTGATGGCTGTTATCTCATGATCGCTCGACCAACCGCAGTTGAAGAGTGACCAACCACGAAGAAAAGAATTTGCGCATCTTTTTTCTGGGAGATTAATACAGCCTTTCCTGAAATTTCTGTATTCGATTCGTTTTTTGCTTCGATTGAAGCTCCGGGAGGAAACAAGGATTTCTGAAATTTTCAGTTTAGTTGGAGGTGAAGATGGCAACAGTAGGGCATACACGTCCGACCAGTTGGTTTAACCAAAAGATCGTCGATCCTCTCCTCCAAATCCTCCAGAGGTTCTTTCTCTCATTGCGCATTTGAATTCTGAAATGTTTTATTTCTCTTGGAGCAGCGAAGTTTGTTTGATTGGAATTTGACGAACTCTGTTCTTCATTTCGTACAATTTTGCTTGGGAATTTTTAATCTGAGGATCAGATATCACATGTCATTTTACAGATTGTCTATGTTTGGAAGCGTATTTTGATTTGATTTTGAGTTCTAACCTTCTAGTATGGAATGGAAGGCATATTCTTAAAGAGAAAAATTAGAATTGCTGGTTTCAGTGATTTCAGGAATTACTTTTTCCCTCTCTTTCCATGAATTCTAGGAGTTGTTTTTGTTACTTCTTTTCTCAAAGAGACAAATGGTCCAAAGCTCCTCTTAATTTTCTGAAGATTGGCCTTGAAGAAATTACTAAATCCTTTATACTCTCTATTCTTGGTTTTGCTGTTGAAGGGGCGCAGAGCCGAAGCAACTGGCATTCTCTGCAGCTCTCGGCACAACCCTGGGACTGTTTCCTATATGCGGTATATATTTCCTTTACAGTACAGAGACTACTGGACTCTGTTGCTTTCACACTTAACTGCATTATGTTTCTCAAGATGTGAAGTTTTTTAATGTGGTCAAGTTCATATTAAAAAAGGGTGGAAGCTTTACTCTCTTGGGTATTTCTGTATGTATTCCCTGTTTATCATTGGTTTTCGATCTCAATTTGTTATATGATTGGTGTTAAAAGCATAGCAGTTTTTGAATCATGGGGTAAATATAAACATCCAAGCAGACCTCGTCTTAAAACCAATATAGAACATTTGAGACTGACGAAATGTCAAAAGCCAGAAAAGGTGAGTATAATATAGGTTCTAAGGGGCATTTCTATTCTTTTTAAATAGAGATAAAAAAAAAAATGTAGAAATTTAAGATAGATGGTATCAGGGATATTGCGGAAGCTCCTTCTTTTGTTCTTTTTCTTGGTTATTGTTTCATTCGTTACTGAACCACATTTTTACGTTAAGGACTTGTTAGAGATGTTAGGTTACATTTTTTGCTTCAGTTTATGTGATTAGCTCTAGGTCTATATGTGTTAAAATAATGTGTGAAGTTCGTACCACCATCAATTTGATATTTTATCTTTCATTTACACAGGGGTCCCTGTTTTCCTATGTGGGTTTGCAATTGCATTTCTTGGACCTCTTTGTCATGCTCCAACAGTGATGCTTGCCAACTTTGTTGTTACTCCCATAGAATTGAGGTACTTGTATTCATTTCTGTAATACGAACACTGGAGAGTTGGATCTTTATTCTCACATTCTGATGTGAAGCAGTAGCTATTTTTTGTAGGGAAAAATACTTATAAATAAGCAACTTTACATATTATTTATATATGCGAGCATTTCTTGAGTCAGAGGGTTATAAATAAGCAACTTTACATATATTTTATATATGCGAGCATTTCTTGAGTCAGAGGCTTGGGGATGTTTCATCCCTCTCATTTGTTGATTATTTTTTATTTATTGCTCTGAAGCTTGGTGGTGCCTTTCTTGCGCTTTGGTGAAGCAATTTCCGGGGGACCTCGTTTCCCATTTACACCTGATGCCTTGAAGAAAGTTTTTACAGGCCAAGCTTCGCATGAAGTACTACTGAGTATTGCTCATGTGGTAAGGTTTCTTCTACATACTAATTTCAGTGCTGTGCATGCAGGGTTCATACTAGGAAGACAATAGATTTGTCAAGATGCAACTCGAGTACTGTTCATTTTACTCCTTGGATGACATTCGACAGTGGCGAAATGGAAAGATGCATGAACTTAGTTTCTTATCTTCTCCCATTGTCGTTTTTTCTCTCTCTGAACGTTGAACTGCTTGCTGTACTTTTATAATAGTCATTCCATTTTCCCAGTTATCTTGTTCTAGAGTTTTAAATGAACGTCAGTTATCTTTATTTGCTCATTCTTCCCTTCATATGATATATCTGCCAAGTAATCTGGAGAACCTAACCAACCATCCCGTGTTGTGTGATTGCGCCATACTGTGTGATCAAATACATCAATCGTCTGTTATTATCCCCAACACTAACACCATGTCACCAACCAAGATCATTTTCCCTGTGGTTGAGCTGATTCTCCACATTTTCAGTTCTAACATGTTGATATTAGTTCGTACATTGTCATTTTGTTTGGTTGCTTCATTCGAATTAATAAACTGACTGAAAGCTTTCTATCGATATTGGCAGTTGTTGGGATGGCTTGTTGCGACGCCCTTTATTTTGGGCATTGGATACATGTTGTTTTTACCATGTTTCAAGATTTTGGTCCGCAAGTTCAGCACTGGTGCATCAAGCCCAAAGAAGTCACCTCATTCACACTCAGAAGTCAGACTGAAGGTGAGGGATATCTGATTTAAGGATCCCAGAACTGATGCATTTCCTGGAAACTTGGTGACTCACTTTAACATGTTAACCTTCTTTGTATGCATCACTAAGGCGTTACTGTGCTCCGTTGATGGTCGGTTTCTTTTTTCAGTTGCTTCGCTTTGTAATGTATTGAATACAGTTCTCTGGATGAAAGTTTTGCAACAAATCTTAAGCTGGGCTGGCTCCTACTACAGCATGAAACTGATGCAAGCTTATTATTCACATCACTGCATGGTTGTATTGTATGTGTACCCTACCCTGCCTTACCGGTAGTAAACCTTTGAAATGTCAAGCTCTGAAATTGAGGAGCCAAAAGATAATGTTTCCTTTTCAACGTTGTAATGGTGTTTGGTGGTGTATGAAATAAAATCTTTTAAATTTTTAACAAACATTATCGATTTTTTTCTTCTTGACAAAACATTTGAGATGCCTCCATTCAACGTTGGAAAGATTCATTAGCTCCATCACTCTTACGTTTTCTTTTTTTGGTTTCAATCATCGCCAGCCAATTCAAACCTAACTCAACCTTTTGCCTTCTGAAACAAAAAATCTATATATAATTTGATCAACTCTTATAAACTATAATTGTTACACTTAACTCAATGAATGGAAATTTTCACCTTTCCATTTGTGTACTTTTTAAATAAAGGTTTACGAAATAAATATATTCGGTTGACCGTTTTTAAAATTGAAATATTTGAGAAAAATGGTTTTATAAAAGCTATTATATTTTAATTTTAAATAATTCAAGGGAAATGTTCTCTAATATTATTTAATTACACGTCACTAAAAATTAATCAGAGTTTCTTTCAAATAATAATAATTGTTAGAGATGACAGAATAAAGCCAAATTCTTTGTAGGATTGTAGATCTCATTTCATAATTTGGGGTTCAAATAATTTGATTTTTTATAAACAAATAAGCATTTCATAGAATAAAAAATGTCGTTTTTTATATTATATATCGAGTTAGATTCCATTAATAATACAACAAGTATAAATTTTCTTAATTGTAATTTTATTTATAACTATACTCTTGTTGTTAATTTTTTTAGCGGTAACTCTCATGAGAGGGAGAAAAAAACAAAGGGAAAGGAAGATTGTTGACGATGCACAAGAACTGCTTGAATCTTCTCTCCGATAAAACGAGCAGTCTACAAATTCAATCCTCCTGAGAAGAACGACATTTCTCATTCTCTCGTCAACGTAGAAGAAATCCCCGACATCGAGTTGTTTTCATTATTTGATATCAATTTCGGAATTCTGAGGCGCAACTGAAGATTTGGAGAACAAAACGGCTCGCCGGCTCCGGTGTTCGAACCCCTCTCCGATCTGTAAAACCCTTGCCGATTTCTTCCATCTCGGCAGCTTCTCAAAACATAAGCTAGGTGTCGGGTCAGTGTGAATTTATCTAGTATATATCAGTTAAATGCAATTCTGTATGATGCGTATCATTCTTTGATCTCGATGGTTATTTGCTTACTTGGTGAATGATTAAGTGATCGTTAACTGTGAATGTGAGAAGCTCAGGATGTTGGTATTTCCATGACCCGATTGGTTTATTGTAAATCTAGATCGCGCTGGCGGACTATCTGTTAAGCACTCTTGGCCAATTCGGACGGGATGGCCGATACTGGGATCGACCAAGTGGTATAGTAAACTTATATTCTTTTTAATATATCTTTAGCGCTTTTCGGTTGGAGTACCATAGAAGTAATCTCATTCGAGTTGGGATGAATCACGGCCACGTTCCAAGTGGTACGATAAGTGGGAATGTTGGTATCAGCGATAAGATCTTTCAAAAGTGAAGATTATGAATGTATCTACGTTTAATAATGGAATGGAAGTTGAACTGCGTAGTGTTAGCTAATAAAAACTCGACTTCAATTCAGTTTGGACAGCAATGTATTATATGTTTTGTCATGCTTCTTTACGCACTGCAGAATCACTCTTATGATGAAGCCAACCAGACCCAGAAGAATGTTTTTGACTTGGAATCATTTGTTGGGGACTTGACTGTCGAGGAGGATGCTTGCAGGTAGGTCCATTGCTCATGTTTCTTATTCTTGTATGAAGCATGCACAACCTTTTCTTTTTCAGCCATCATAACAATGTTGATGGCCAAATTGCAGAGTGGACTTAGATTGACGTTAGTTAAGAAGACGATCACCAGTTTATTTGGCTATTATATTTATTACCTTCTACTATTGAATTACCAAATTTGACTGTGGTATCAATTTATCCCGTTTTACAGTGAAGACATTTCATTGGAAGGACTGCAGCAAGAACTCGAAGAATGTAAAGATGATGGTGTAAGTTATTTAACATGGTGTAAAATTTGTACGATTGAGGGCTTTAGCTGTTTTACATCCGGTGGCAGTGTTTTTTTGCCCCCAACAGTTTTATTATTTTCAAATTTCATATATTATTGTACATTTCGACAGTTAATCATCGATTTGATTGTAGTTTGTAAATGTGCAAATCTTCTTGCCACTTTTTTTTTAATTATTAATTTTTACTTTTTGTTTTTTTTGAATTATGGAAGTTGTTCAATTCTTTTAAGATAATGTTTCAAGATATTATTTCCTTTGTACAGGATCCCTTGTAGTGAACTTTTATTCATTTCTTGTATCGCCTGTTAGAATCTTTCACAACCTTACTTGGACGTGATCTGCTCTATAGGTTGTACTACTATGTCGAGTTAATTTTTTTAGAATCTTTCATTCAGCTTAATGAAAGCTTGTTTTTTTCATAAAAATAAAAATATATTTTTTTCTATAGGTATCAAATATATAATCTGTTAATAACGTGCTCAATCATTCGGTGTTATTGTACATTATGACTCATGGATGAAAAATCTTGGAAGAATTTCTAATGAAAACTGACTTGATTTTCCTTACTATAAATCTTCTTTGGTGCTTAGTTGCATTATTTTAGCTTCTTTATGGTCTCCTAGTATAGTTTGAAAACGAGGGGCTTATGGTTTCATTCTTCCCAGAATATGACATCTAGTCTGAAATAAAAATTGTCTATCGGTGATAGAAGTCTAGTACTGATAGACTATATATGGTATATTAGTGATGGACCTGAAAATTTAAAAAATTGACATATTTACAAATACAACAGCTAATTTTGCCGCCTATTACACTCCTTTATTTTTTAACTCTTTATTAATCAGGTAGTTGCGAACATACTTTCTAAAGGTGTAAAACTAAGGGAGTACACAAAGGGAGTTGAAAACAATTTGCGGCAGGTTGAGCTGGATTCCATACAGGTTTGTCATCATTTCTAGTTCTTTTTTGTTTACATTTCTAGCTCTAAATATTTCTAATCTTTGCTATGCATTTCTTTTTAGAAGTGAATACATTATCCTGTCTTGCCTGTGATTAAGAAATGTTATAGACATCTATGTGTACTCTGTTTAACACTGCAAGAGTGCTTTGGCTATTGCTGTCTTTTGCTCTCATTAATATTTCTACTTTCAGAGACAGCTTTAAAGATGTTAAATGCCGCATGTCAGGAGTAGTTGATATGATTAATTAGAACAAGCTGGTTGCTAAGCATAATCTGGGGTGTTGGTTGGTTTAGAATTCCATGATCTATGTTTTTTTTTTTTCATGCTTCGAGATGGTATTTTAGCTATTTAATCGCAATTGTTCCCTTTTTATGATTAGCAGCACTTGCAGAGATCATTCTTAATCTTCTTTGACCCTGCATGTGGGGAATATCTTTATTTCCTTTCTCTTTGCATGTTGTCTATTTTCAATACATTGTCTCTTATCTTGAAAAAAAAAAAAAAAAAGCTCAAGATCTATCTAGTTGAATTATATTGGTAATTTCACATAAACCTATGGACACGTATAACTGATATGCACACACTTAACTTGTTTGTGCAAACAAGCGAAATATGCGCATATATTTGTTGTTCATTAGTTCTATTTTTGAGTGTTCTTCCTTTTAACATATCAATAAAAAGTTGTTCTTGTTAAATCGAAAAAAAAGAAGAAGAAGATTCCAGTATTAAGGGCTCATTCTTATTGTTCATAAATTGCAGGAATATATTACAGAAAGTGATAACTTAGTCTCACTCCATGAACAAATTCGTGACTGCGATAACATTTTATCACAGATGGAAACTCTTCTCAGTGGTTTCCAGGTATTTTAGCTGCTGTTCTGGCACTCTAGTAATATCAAACTTCTTAGTGAAGTACATCAATCTGGTTGTATTAGCCTGTAGCATTGTTTTGTGTCATTATATCTTCTTTAAAGTCTGAATTTGTATATAGTTCCTGTTTTCATAAGTTCGTATCTGATTATGCCTCGTTAAATGAGACTATGGGACTTATGTTATCTTTCTCAAATTTGAATGCATTTGGAATTACATTGACCTTCTTGAATTTAATTTCTATTGTTAATCTATGTCATCTTAAAGGAGATTGTCATCATTGTTCCCCACCTCCCCCCTAAAATTTTCGTTGTTTCTGTTATTTAATTTTGTTCATCCTAGAGATTCTTTCCCAAAGAATTAATATATGTATATTTTTTAAAATTTTCAGGCCGAAATTGGTTCTATCAGTGCAGACATTAAAGTCTTGCAGGAGAAGTCAATGGATATGGGTCTGAAGCTCAAGAATCGCAAGGTATTCTTGGTTGGATTAAAAAAGTTCATTACTTTAGTAATTTGAAAAAACTGAAACAATTAAGTCTTAAGTCTCAATAGGCGTTTACAATGGCTTACTTGCAATATCCATTGCTGTTTAATTTAGCAATGTATCAGATACATTCTTATTTTCCAGAAACTTATAAGGACATTATTGTAGTTTTAAAGCACAATTATATTAATATAAAATGCTAAGAGATAGGAAGAAGTGAAATTAAGGTGCTATGATCATTACTACGGCATTTTGGACTTCTTAACTATCATATTTTGGTAAGTTAGTCTTTCTTCTTTAATTTACAATTGGAGATCATTTTTGTAATCCACCATTGGTGGTCATTTTATTCATCGATGAAATTCTTGTTTCTTCTTCTTCATCTTCAAAAAAAAAAAAAAGAGGGAGAGAGTATTTTTTGATAATATTAGTTTGTTATAATGTTCGTTAGGAGGAACTATAAGTTAACTAAATACATGAGCACTATGCATTTGACATTGATTTTGAGTAGCAGTTCAAGACTTAAAATGTTTTCCTTTTCTTTTTGTCCCCCAGAACAAGCTTTTCGCAACTTTGCTTATTCTCTGATAAGACTGCTATATTTTATTTGTGATATTACGGTGTTCGTCTCTAGTTTATATTAGAAATCATTTTTCATTCTAGGTGTTGCTTTTCAGGTGGGAACTA